TAAACGAGGGTTCACTGTATATGCACAAATGCGTTTGTTACAATTGATGTATGGATTGTTATAAGAGCTGTCAGAGCCCCAATAAAATGATTTATTTTTTATATTTTTAAACCATTTTATTGGGGCTCATACAACTCTTATCACAATCCATACATACATCAATGTGTCAAGCACATTTGTACATTCGTTGCCCCCATCATTCTCAAAATAGTTGTTCTCCACTTAAGCCCTTGGTATCAGCTCCTCATTTTTTCCCCTCCCTCCCTGCTCCCAAAATGATTTATTTCTTTTTAAGTTGTTTCTTTTGGGAGAGCTATGGAAGATATTGCTGCTTGAATAGCTTTTAATGGCATCATTTGCTCTTATGCAGATACGTTGGAGCTCCAAACCTACCAGTGAAATTGCTGGGCTGGAAGGTTTATGTAAACTGCTGAGTTAAAGAGTATGTGCATTTTACACTCAGAGAGTGCCAAATGATACTACTATACTACTACATATGATTTGGCACCAGGAGCCCTGGTGGCGCATTGGACTGCTTAACCACAAGTTCAGCACTTTGAAGCCACAACAATGGAGAAAGATAGTAACAGGCCCAGAAACCTGCAGGGACAATTCTACCCTGTCCTACAAGGTCAGCACTGACTCGATGCTGTGTTTGCATTGAGATACTTGAGGGAGTGTAGCAATTTACTCCTCCAGTAGTGAAATCACCTGGTCTTTCCTTTAGCCTTTGTTTATTGCCTCTTTCCTCTCGCCTTGAGGACGGAGTCTTGGTCATCGCGTGTCCCAGAGGCTTGTCCATAGGAAGGCTCAATAAAGATGTGGTGCACCAGGAGCCTCGTCTCTGTAGACTGTCCCCCGATGTTGCTCTCAGAGCCTTGCCACTGGGCCTTTTGGAGGTTGTAGCATTTGTTCTAGCTCTCTCCTCTCTGGACAGGGAGCCCTTTTTGACTCGTCTTCCTTTTCTTCCCAATGCCCAATACCACGACTGACACCCAGCAAAGCACAAGAAGTTTGTGCTCAAGGGGTAAATCAACGATAACTTTGCAAGCCAAATACAAACACAAGTGCTGAGGCAGATTAAGGAGCCCAGTGGATAAGGGAGGCTAAAGGGCCAGGAAATGCGTTCTAGAGCTGCAGGGTCAAAACTCAAGGAATCTTAGAGAGAAAGAGAAATCTCTCACCCCAGGTGTGTTAGTCTGGGTAGACTAGAGAAATAAATCCATGGGCACACATATGTGTATAAGAAAGAGATTTATATACAAGGGCAACTGAACTTTGAGAAAACATCCCAGCCCAGTCCAGATCAGGTCCATAAGTCCAATAATAGCCCATATGTATGATACCAATCTATAAAGTCCTCTTCAGACTCACGAAACACATGCGATGAAGCCAAATGCAGGACGATCACAAGCCAGTGGGTAGAAAGTCTTTGGGTCCAGTGGCATTGTAAGCATCTCAGCGCTGGCAGGGGTCTCCCTGTGGCTTCTCCAGCTTCAGAGGTCTGGTGGCATACATGTGGCTTGTCTTTTGCAGTGTCTCCCAGGAAGTGGCAGAGAGAGAGAGAGAGGGGTCTTCTGCCTCCGAGGAGGAAGTACCAGATTTCCCAGAATTCTCAGGAGAAGGCCATGCCCACAGAAATCTTATTGGCTATCTCCAGATTGACAGCCTAGACTCTACCTTACACTCTTAATCCTTAAATTGACACCAGATTAGGTGACTACCATACCAGGCAAGTGGAAAAATTTGTCCATTGCACCCTTCACAGGAGGAAAATGAGGCTGCCTGCTCCCCAAAAGATTTAGTCTCAGAAACCCAATGGGGTAGGTCCACTCCGTCCTATAGGATTTGTGTGAGTCAGAACCACCGTGATGGGTGTGGGTTTTGAGTGACGGGTACCTTCCACGTTTAACTGGGTATCCATCAAAAATGTGAACAGGGTACAAGTAAGTCCATGTGAAAGAAGCACACCAGCCTTGTGTTGTGATCCAAGGCATGCAAATAATAAAATCCAAATCCAAAGGAGGGAATGATACCAAAATTTAAATTCTGAAACCTAACGTTTAGAGGCTGTGGATGACAGTGGAAGCTCCAAATGGTAAGTGCTTAAGCACCACACCAAACATTGCCACAGAGTCAATTCTGGCACTTAGCGACCCTACAGGGCGAGGTAGAGCTATGTGTTTCCAAGACTGTAAATCTTTTTTTTTTTATCGTTTTATTAGGGGCTCATACAACTCTTATCACAATCCACACACACATCAATTGTGTAAAGCACGTTTGTACATTCATTGCCCTCACCATTCTCAAAACATTTCCTCTCCACTTAAGCCCCTAGTATCAGGTCCTCATTTTTCCCCTCCCTCCCTGCTGCTCCCTCCCTCACGAACCCTTGATAATTTATAAATTATTATTTTGTCATATCTTGCCCTGTCCGACGTCTCCCTTCACCCACTTTTTTGTTGTCCATCTCCCAGGGAGGAGGTCACACACAGACCCTTGAAATTGGTTTCCCCGAGACTGAAACTCTTTATGGGAGTAGGAAGCCTCATCTTTCTCCGGAGGGGTGGCTGGTGGTTTCAAACTGCCAACCTTGCAGTCCAACACTGCGCCACCAGGGCTCCATTGGGTGGCTTAAGGCCCCCAACCTCAGAACTTTAAACATTCTAAATGAGCTCTATCACTACCTCGGAGTCTCCTCATAGGAAGGGCTCCTGCCTTTGGGATTCTATCCGCTTTAGTCCTCAATTTGCTCCTCTTTCAATAGGGAATTCTCACAAAATGATTCACCCCAAAGTTATAGTAAGGATAAAACCAAGTACAATAAACCTGCGACGACGTGTGTAATGTGGGGACGTGGGAAGGGAAACTCCATTATTTCCCACTCATAGGAGTGATAAGAAAGTGGTGAGACTGCATCCGAGTCAAAGGTGAGGAAACTTGGAAGACCAGGGAAAACAAGGCACCCTGGGGCTGCTGGGCTCTCGTTCTGGGTTAGAAAAGGACCCACCTGCAGGTGCAGAGTCCTTATGAGCGCCTGAGTGTTGGGAGGACTGTTTTCTTCACTGCAGCTTCCTGGTTCCTAGACTCAACTCCAGGGGGCTCTATTCAGGTTCCATTTCAACTCTGTGAGGCGCATTTACAGATAATGCAGAGTGAATTGTGCGCCCCTGAGCGCCATTCACACTCACCAGGAATGCCAGGATGCAGCTTTGCCATCTTTGGTATGGCGGTTATGAGTTGGGCTGCTAACCATGAATGAGGTCAGCAGTTGGAATTCACGAGCTGTTCCTGCAGGAGAAAAATGAGGCTTTCTGCTCCTCCCGTCAAGATTGACAGCCTCGAAAACCCACCTCTACCCTGCCCCGGAGGGTCACTATGGGTCAGAATTGATGAGATGGCAGTGAGTGGGTCATTGCTCATTTTCGTGGACAACCCTTGAGTTTTTCTTTCCAACTGGTTTCTGCTTTATACTTGTCCCAGCTTTCACAGGTTTACTGGACCACGTGGCTGGTGCTTCCAGGAGTTGATCGTGTCTTGTCTAACACGGGATCACTGCTATTTGTAATTGCCGTAAAGCAGGAGCTAAGGGCACAGAACATGTTTGCTGAATGGATGAACGGACCGTAACCAAACCAAATTCACTGCCATGGACTTGATCCTGACTCATGGCCAGCGACCTGATAGGGCAGGGAGAACTGCCTCAGGGTTTCCAAGAGGGAAACTCAACCAGCTGGAAAGCCTTGCCTTTCTGGTTTAAAACTGCTGACCTTGTCCTAGCAGCCCAATGTACAAACTCTAGGCCACCAGCGATCCAGATGAATGGGATACACATTTAATTCTTGATCCTGCCACTACCACCCCTCTAACCCTCAGCCTCGGGGTAAAAAGGAAAAGTTGACCTGGAGGGAAGGGGGGTGGGGAGGAGTCACCATCACTCTGCGTTTAGCTACAAGGCTTTCTAGAAAATGGGGTGTGAAAAGGGAGAGGGCAGTGCTGGTGGTATTTGGGGGAGGGGTGGGATGCCAGAGAAATTCTATTCCCAAAGATTCTCCACCAACATCTCTCCTACCTCGGAGTGGCCCAATTCAGGATAATTTGATAGTCCTGGATCTGATAGCATGTAGAAATTAGTGCAGTTCATTCATTTTAAAAAGTTAATGAAAGCGTACTGAGGGCCCTAGTTGGGAAGACAGGATGTCAGCTACAACTACCTGGCTCAGGTCTGTTATCAGTCACCCTGAGGAGGGCAGGTGAACTCCGAACAGCAGGAGTGAAGGTTAAAGTGAGCTTGCAGCACGGAATGAGAGAGACCAGTGGACAAAGAACAGGTAATACAGAACTGGCAGAATTTGGATTTTATCTTGAACATCGTCAGGATGAAGAAATTTAATAATCTTCGAGATGAGGAAATTTAATGAGTCAACTTTGACATTTTGGAAAGGGAACGTGGGCTGGAAGGGGCAAAACTTGAGGCAGGGAAAAAAGGAAAACGACTGACGCTGTCTGGGTGACAAATGATGGCTCTATCAGGTGGCGGCAGGGGAGCTAGAGAGAAGGAAGCAGTGACAGGAAGTGAGCCCGGCAGCCGGGTGTCAGAATAATGGTCCTGGCACAAAGAATAAGACAGACCCAGGGAAAGACACAAGACCGAGGTGGCTAGCAGGTCCCTTCTTGCTGGACCTCCGTCGCCTCCACAGCGGGGGCC